TGTGTGTGACGGGGGGGTGGAAAGAGGTGTAGGGTTGGGGTGGAGCGGGGGTGGGAAGAGGTGGAGTGGGGGTGGGGCCTTGGGGGAAGGGGTGAAGTGGGGGCAGGGCCTGGGGCTGACCAGGGAGCTTGGGGGTCCACAAAATTTTTTTAATCAAAATGGGAGTCCTTGGGTAGCTAAAGTTCCCATGCCCAAAAACTGCTTTTCATGTTTTTTTTTTTTAAACAAACTAAATTTAGGATGAACAAGCCAAATTTTAATAGCAATAAGCCATGCCAGGGTGTTTATTAGGTGGCTTATGGCGTGCTTCTCTGACAGTTGAATCCTACACACCCAAAAATGCAATTAATGCTGCTCCACTGCAACTGCACATGAACAGATAAGAGGAAAGCAAGTGAAGACACAGGAGATGAGAAAGGGAAAAGTCTGAAGTCAAGGCTGATTCCAAGATACAATATCTGAACTCACGAGCCAAGTAAAGGTCTAAGTAGAACAGGCGTCTCAGAGCAAAGAGGACTCTATACCTAGAAGTTTATGGAGTACCCAAGAGCTGTCAAGAGACCAGACAAGCAGGAAGGAAAATAAAAGATGAGGGCAAGCATGAGATGAGATATTTTTGTGTCCCATCTGAAACATTTTTATTCTTATGGCACCTGTTTGCTTTTTTATGCCACAGGGTTAAAACACAGTGTACCAACCCACCAGAGTCTCCCAACACAACAGCTGTTTTTCATCTTGTCTTAGACACAGAAGAGCTAAAAACCTCGCACCTGGGCATGTGGTTCACTCTCATTCAGCTCTGGATTCGCTGCCCTGCTGACTTCACAGAACGATTCCTGTTCCTGGAAGGGAAGGTCTGACTCTGATGATCCATCATTTGGACTGGGTTGCAGGACCAATTCTGAGGGGTTCAGTTCTATGAACCCCTATTAAAAATAAAAAACAGTACAGTCAATAAAGTGTGTTGTAATTAACAGAAAATGAAGAAAAAAAAACTAGAGCAAGATTTTGAAATGGTTTTCAAACTGCAGCAACCTGCTACCCAACTGAGTGGGAGCTAGCTTGAGAGCCATCTGGACGCTGGCAGAGTCTACCTTGTTGCAAAAGTTAAAATGCTTTTCTACAGTGACAAAACTACTCATCAAATGATATCTAGACACAGCACATGCCAAAATGGCAAGACTTCTTGCCACAAGAGTTACTGTGCAGTGTACTGATTAAAGCAAAGGACACAAGGCCCCTGGGTTTTGCCCGTTACTGATATTTGAAATGGTGGGATTTTGTTTATAGTTCTTGGTAAAACAGTGCTGACTCACTTTCAAATCACAGTGTTGGCTGTTCTTACTTATATTATAATTATACATTTTTACCGCACTGTTTAACAGTCTAGGCCCCTTTCTAAACTATAATGTGGTGCTGGAGCATAATCCATTTAGTGTGGAACTGTAGCATAGGCCACTGTACATTTACCAGGAAAAAACAACAACAACAACAAAAATAATCAACTAGCATCTTTATACCTAGATTTGTGTATAAACTCAGTATGCTGTAACTGGGTTTCAGTGGTCAGTGCAGACAAGATTGGAGATTTACCTCTTGTACTTCACCTTATGCGTCAAACAAATCAGCTAATTACAGCTAAATCACCCGAGATTGAGATTTCCAGAGCAAAAGTACCAAAACAGCATAACAGTTTGAGTTCTTTCATTAACAAAAATAAACACAAAGCAGAAGACTTCCAAGCAGACTTCAAACTAGACAGTAAAACCTCATCAATTTCAAAGATATAGAACTAAATGTTCTGAGCTAATCTTGTGCTGTTAAAAATGATAGACTGACAGAACTGGTGAGAGCCAGGCATAGAAAAGGCAAGTATCTTATAGGCAGTTGCACCTGTGTACCTTAATCCTGCCCTGTAACACAGGCTCTTCACTACTATCCCAGTTCTGGGCTGCTGTTGAGAATGTCTACAGTTCTCAATCTATTTTTTCCATATTTATATAAGGTCCCTATCCACACTACATGAATATACAATAAATGATAATAAAATATCCACATTAAGAATCTCCTAAACCTGTGTTAGCAAATGTAACCAAAAGAATCCTCTCTGTAACATCAATGGAGTCATGGCAGCTTTTAGAACAACTGCGCAGCAGAGATGAAAGTGCACATGAACCTTGCAGCATTACACAGTGGTGGTTTGGTGATGAAGTTCAAATCCCTGCTGGGGATTGGTCCTGCTTTGAGCAGGGGGTTGGACTAGATGACCTCCTGAGGTCCCTTCCAACCCTGATATTCTATGATTCTATGTCTAATTGTGCTCAGGCTGTGAAAACCTGTTTCTTAAGATAAATGTGAACTTAAGCTTTATGAGATAAAGGACTATTGTATTAATATACTGCACCAATGGACTCTTCTCTCTGGGAGGAGTGAAATTTTAAGGTGCACTGGAAGTTCCTGTTGCATTTCCTTTTTGTTAAGAGTAAATTTTCCATGTTACATAATCCAAATTCCCACTATATTACAGCCCCTTCCTTGAACAGTCTTCCTCAAACTCGCCACCTCTGCCCTTCTTCACCTTGGAGGGAATATTTTCTCTGCAAATGACAGCATGGCCCTCTGCTCTCAAGACCTGATGGATGTAGATATCTTCATCAGACGTAGTGTCACACAGGAAGAGGTGAAGAATACCGTTCACATATTCATCCACCACTCCCACCAATGGCTTCAGGTTACACAGCTTCCAGAACTGGAGAATGGCATTGGTGGTCCAATGCCCCTTGAAGAAAGAGAGATAAACAGGTTACTACAAAATAGCCCATCGGCAACCATATGATGCTTATTCTCATTCCTAGAAAGTTTGGTGTGGATGCAAAGGGAGAAGGCAAGCTAGATTCAGGGGCACAACTGGGCAAGGCTTAGCTGAAGTAAGTGTAATAAGGATGCACCAGACAGGCAAAATGCACCAAACTGAACCTGACAAGGTTACCAACACTCAGTTAAGTTAAACTACTCAAAATGTACAAAGGCTGCAAAGCTGGAGTTACCACTGGGAAGCCATTTGCACTCTAAGCTCTTATTTTTCAATGACTGACAAACTGTGTGGCCAGCTCCTGAAGTTTTATCAGGAATCTTCCAATACATGGTGCTTTGCTGCAAGCCTCGGCTCCTGGAGTCATGTGATTAAAGGAGAATTTCAGCTTTCATTTATAAAAAAAAAAAAGTTTCTAGCCCTTATGGTTCTGAAGAAAAGCTTGAAAATGTGAACCTAAATGCTTAGAATGTGAAGAAAATAAAAGGAACCCAAAATGTATTATTGTTAGAAAGCCTTTCCTCCCTTTGGAGTTGTTTCACATACTTCTCACCCCAGACAGATTTTTTTGTTCTGAGAAAGTCTGATGGAAATCTATTAATCTATTTTGAAGTTAGAGTGGAAAGGAAGTCCGGGATCCTGCTGTAAGGGGTGATGGGCTGACTCTAAAGAGGGTCCTGGCCAGTTCCCACTTGTGAAGGAAGTTTTGAGTAACGTGGGTCACTCAAGTAAAGCAAATATTTAAAGCAGAGAAAACTGGGCTGGATTTCCCAAGGCTCCAGAAGGGTCACAGAGGACTCAGGGCAGAGGAGAAAACTTATTCAATGGCATAATGAATACCTCTACAAGTGCTGTCCATTTGTAGACAGAATGCAAACAAGCATGTTATGAATATTCAGAAAGGGAGCAATGATAGGTTGACAGACAACAGCAAAACTCCCATGAACTTTGGTGGGAATCGGATCAGGTCCAGAGATTGTCAACATCAATATTACTCAGTTTATTTCAAGTAGGCAAGAGGCCAATGTCTACCGCAAAGTCCCATTATATATACACAAGTGAAAAACTGTATGTGGATACATACCTCTATGGGTTTCACCCATGCCAAGGAGCAAGGGATAGCTTGGGCAGGAAGTTTCGAATAGCAGCACCTGCAACAGGAATCAAATCCATCATTTCATCATACACCAAGAGTTAAAAATATGGATGGTACAAGATTCCATGGGCCATTTAGCCTCTTGACCTTCAACTCCAACAGCCACCTTATAGTTTTATTTTTTTTAAATTAATGTTATATGCTTGTGAAAGATGCCAGATGAACAGCCCTGGCAACCAACATCCTGCATCCAAAGAATGGGTACAGCACAGACAACAGCAATGCCAGTTCCCACACACTGCCCCATGCCAAATGTATCTCACCCCTGCAACTCATTAAACAAAGACCGACAGTTATGACTTTTGGTCCAATCAGTGCTAAAGCCCCCATGTAGAGCGGCAGATGAGACAGGAGAACAGACTAAACAGTGCGGAGGCTGGGAAAGGAGGAAGATGAAAAAAAGCTCTCTTCCCTCCACTCCAACCAATGCAAGATAAGGACAACTGATGCTTTATGTTCACCCCAGAATAAATGACAACTCCAAATATGTCTAGAAAACACTGTGAATTCTACTGACAGTGTTTATGCAGCTTTACCCAAAGGGAGTGAAGGTAGGGCAAGTTCCAGGAGAAAAGGTAAGATCTGGCAGCACTTAGCCAGAATATCCTTAGCCAGAATACCGCAATTAACTTACTTGAGGAATCTCAGGCAAGACTTCTGGACAGTCCTCAGATTTCCAAAGTCTGGGAAGAACACCTCCACCTCCTGTTCGCTGAGCACCTGGTGGATGATGACTCGGTACCACCATTTGTCCTCCGAAATCCTAACACAGCAAAGATGGCCAGGCTGGACCAAGGCCTCCGGCATGACATAACGGTCAGAAACGTTTTTATTTGAATAGCATCGTCTGCAAGACACCACAGAAAAAGGTAGTGCCCAGCAGGAAGCAGTATAGAGAGAACTCCATAGATACTTCAGTACAGCGTTGCTTCCTTGTTTTCCTTTAAACCTCTCTTTGATATGAACTTTCAAGGAGCCTTATGGTAAAACATCAGAGCTGAGAACAGTTTTCAGAGTTAACTTAAGATCTAGGAACAGCAATGCAGAGGAAGATCTACTTTAACGGTGAAGGTGACCCTTCCATATCATGCTCTTATACCACATGGGTAGAGTACACATGTACTTTAAACATTTACGATGAACACAGCCAAATTCAAAGGCTTAGAGTATAAAGCACATACAGGGATTTTACTAGCCTTCCAGAAAATACAGTAGGTGCAGTTGTGACACACTGTACTTCAAAGTAGGACCCTGCAATCCCCATATTCATCGATAGTATATGGTTGTGGTATTTCATATAAAGCGTGCCTTGCAAGGTATATGAAAGGTCATGATCTGCTGAAACTCATTGTTCTGTCAAAATATGTATATCATTATGTATGATGTTAAAAGATTTTGCTATATGGTTGTTATTGAAACGTGTTATGAGTTTGGGATATGCCCACTGCTAGCTTTCCAGCGACAACAGGGGTGGTGACTCACACCCAAATGGGCATTAAATGACCACTGATCAGCAGGGGAATTGTAAACAAGAGATTTACAGTTCTGTAAGAGACAGATGCGCAAGCACCACACAATCGGGATTGCTCAACTCTGACTCAGCAAGGCCCACCAGGACATGCCTGGGCCGATATCTTTCCAGGGACATAGATTGAGAGTATAAAATAAGGGACAGTGGCATCATCAGACCATCTCTTGTCCCTCACCTACGCAGAAAACAACAAGAACAACGGGAAGACAAAGACTTGGAACTGAGGAGATAATTCTCAGGCTGAATTTCCCTCCCAGCATGAGACCAAAGAACCATAACCTGCCTACAACATCCAGTAAGATGAGAAAAACTGTTTGATTCAATTCTTGCTTAGTCTAAAAGTTTAGGATTTAGAATATGTGTTTACTTTTTGTTTTCTTAAGGTAACTATCTCTGATCTTTATGCCTACCACTTATAATTAGGGCTACGATTATATCACGGAATCCATGACTTCTAGAGACCTCTGACATTTTCTGCCCCAGGGCTGGACTACTGTCAGCAGGCAGCCCCACAGCTCTCACTGCCTGCTGGCGGAGGCCCACAGCAGCTCTGCAGCAGGGGGACCCCAGAGCTCCCTAGGGGTCCCTCAGAGCTCCAACTCCCTGTGGGCAGCTGGGCTCCCCACAGCTGCCCAGCCACCAGGGTGGGGATTGGACCCCACAGCAGCCCAGCCAGTGGTATCTGCACAGCTGTGGGCGCTGGACCCTTCTCCCTCCCCATTTTGTCCGTGATTTTTACTAAAAATATCCCTGACAGGTCATGGGCTTCCGTGAATTTTTGTTTATTGCCTGTGACCTGTCTGTAATTTTTACTAAATATCTCTGACAAAATCTGAGCCCTATTTATAATCACTTAAAATCTATCTTTCTGTAGTTAATAAACTTATTTGAATGTTTTATCCTTACTAGTGAGTCTGTCCAAAGTGCTTGGGGAATCTGCTCAGATTACAAAGGCTGGTGCATATCTACTTTCCTTTGATGAAGTGGTGAACTAATTACTGAGCTTCCACTGTTCAAGAGAAGGTCTTGAGCAGTGGAAGACAGTATATTTCTGGGGTGCAAGGCTGGGGACTTGGGAGATTTATTGGTGTTTCCCTGTATATAGTTCATGAGTTGCATGAATGCTCTCCACGCCACATAGCTGGGTGTGCCTCTGCATGCTGATGGCTGAGTGATTACAGTGCCTGGAGGGGTTTCTGCTTGTCACTGGCAAAGCACTGAGAGACAGAGCCCAGGCTGGAGAGTTAAGGGGGCCAGTGATCCCACAGTTCCAGGTTGCTCGCACAGCTGTATGTAAAAAAAGTATATGTAAAAAGTATAGTTAGAGCTGTGTTACAGAGTTCAGTTTTAACAGAAGCTTTCAATCTTTATTTTGTCGAAATCTCATTGAAATGGCAAAAAATATCAGAATCCAAACTGAGCACTATTTGAATTTTTCATAGCGGTTCAATGAAAAATGAATAGAGAGAATTATAAGCATTTAAAAGTCACCCTATTTGGCAATTTTTCATTAAGATTATCTCACTTTTTTGGTACCCCTTCTGCAAGAAATCTAACACATTCTGGGAGCTGTCCTTTGGTCACTTTGCTGTTCCTCATCCATGAATTCCTAGAATACGAGTTATGAATCAGTAGTGATGCTAGAGAGCATTTCATAACTATCTCTAAAAGCAATATGTACCCCAGTCATAACAAGCTTTTACTTGAATACAAAACCTTGAGATAATGACCTTCCCAAATGCATGGAAAGCATGACAGTCAGATGTGCTGATTTCCTATGCTTGTGTATCAGCAGGTCACTGTCAAGGTGTTGCCTTAGAGTGCAAGTTTGATGAAGCTGGAGTAAGTAGTGCTTTTTGGTATCTGTTGGAGATGGACGTGAAAGCCTTAAGGGGTCCTATATCAACACTGTTGTAGGCAACATGAAGGTGCGAAGGAATGCATAAGTCCTTTGTCATAACTATTTATTTCCATGCTTTTAAAGGTTGGGTGGATGAAGTGTGTCCTGCTGCAGCCTTAACTGCCACCAAACATAGTTCTTGTTTGCCAGTTCTAGAGGGATGAGTAAGCACTATGCATACATGAATGAGTAGAGTGCATGCACATCTGCACCAACATACCCAAGCCAATACCAACCACAACAGCAAGCTGGGTGCCCTGCTCTCTCAGCAGCATAGCACATGCATACACATACTCATGGAGAATCTGCACAGCAGGCCACAGCACAAAGCTGATGCAACGCTTTCTCACCTCATCTCAATCATCATGTCCTCCAGCATCTCAGATGTTTCCCTGCTACATATCCGGATGTAGAACTGGTTAGGCGAGATGACGTACTCCACAAAGACACCCACTAGGGTGCTACTGTCCAGTGCAGGGAGACAATAAAGGCTTCTGTCCTGAACAGCATCAGGGGGGATCTCTGGTTCTGCTATCTCCCAGGCTAGCTGTAGCTCCTCCACATCCAGATACTGCAGAGCCAAAAAAGGAGTAAAAGGATCTGGTGCTCAGACAGATAGTTAAATGCTGGTGCTGCGGGTGCACTGAATAAGGACAAGCAACCGCCCCATTAAGATAAAACCCAGTGCTGGTGGGGCTTGTTCTAATACCTAATGGAAAGGATTCTAAGTGGCACTGTATAGCCTAAGTCCAGTGCTTAATTTGTAACGAAAGAGGTGCTAGTGCTTGTGCTCAAGCAATATTTTTACTTTCATAACTGATGTGACAAGCCCAGAGGTGCCTTGGGCTTTGAACTGCCGAGCCTAGAGTGAGAGGGCTCAGCCCTGGCACAAATTAAGCACTGCTTAAGACCTATTGCAATGCCCTGCCTCTTAAGGTCTTCAAACGACGAGGGCTGGCAGATTTAATTGGGGTGGCTCAGACCCACAGTGAAGGGGAAGGAGTGCGTGACTTAACCACTGCAAATATTCCAATTAAACATTGGGTCTGACTGGCTCAGCAGAGGAGATCTGCCAGCAGAAAGGTTCTCTGGGAACAGAGAAATTCTAAGAACTCTCTCTGGTATGTGTTACACCCATCAAGGAAGCAAATGGGGAAGAAACAGAAACAGATACTTCACACCAGATTTGAGAGTGACCTCTGAACAGCTCCCATCTGGGAGCCTAGAAAATAGGCTATTAAATGCAAAAAGCTATTTCATCATGAAAACTTAGAGGCAACCCCAGAGGGGAGAAAGCCAGTCCCTTCCATGAGAGGACTTGACTGAAAAGGTGAACTAAATCTTTTTTGGTTTCATTTAGTTATCTGGGTGCATGCAGTGCTTTCTGCTGCCCTACAGAGATTCAGACTCCATCTGTGTACACTGCTTCTTCTGCCAGCAAGGAGAGTGTGCGCCATAGAAGTAACTTCAGGACATGGAGGGTTGAGGCAAGAGAGAAAGAAAGAGAAAGGCACCTCACCTCACCTGGTAGCCATCCCTACTGGACAATGCAGAAGCAATGTAGATGAGCTCAAAAGATTGCCTGATCAACCACCACAGGTGGAAACTGCATTGTGGGAGTAAGGTACTTAACAGAATGAACAAATTCATAAATATTAAGGCTAGAAGGGCCCATTATGATAATCTAATCTGACCTCCTGCATAACTAGGGCCTTACCAAATTCACAGTCCATTTTGGTCAATTTCATGATCATAGGATTTTAAAATTTGTAAATTTCATTATTTCAGCTATTTAAATCTGAAATTTCACAGTGTTATAACTGTAGGGGTCCTGACCCAAAAAAGAGTGTGTGGGGGGGGGGTTTGCAAGATTATTGTAGGGGAGGTTGCGGTACTGCTAACCTTACTTCTGTGCTGCTGCTGGCAGTGGCCCCACCTTCAGAGCTGGGCAGCTGGAGAGTGGTAGCTGCTGGCTGGGAGCCCAGCTCCGAAGGCAGAGCCGCTGGCAGCAGCAGTGCAGAAGTAAGAATGGCATGATATGGTACTGCCATCATTACTTCTGTGCTGCTGCTGGCTGAGAGCTGCCTTCAGAGCTGGGCACCTGGCCAACAGCCACCCCTCTCCTGCCGCCCAGCTCTGAAGGCATCACAGAAGTAAGGGTGGCAATACTGTGACCCCCCTAAAATAACCTTGCGACCTCCCCCTGCAACTCCCTTTTGGGTCAGGACCCCCAATTTGAAAAATGCTGATCTACCCCATGAAAGCTGTGTAGTATAGGGTAAAAGCACACAAAAGACCAGATTTCACGGGGGAGACCAGATTTCATGGTCCGTGATGCATTTTTCATGGCTGTGAATTTGGTAAGGCCCTATGCATAACAGGCCAGAGATCCCCACCCAGTATTCTCTGCATCGAGCCCATAGCTTCTTATTTGAGTTATAGCATATCTTTTAGGAAAATATCCCATCTCAATTTGAAAACGTCAAGTGATGGAGAATCCACAATGTCCATAGGTAAGATGGCTTTGGACAGGCTGGATACAGATGCAGAAAGATTCCAGTGGCTCTGCAAGGCTGAGTCTGGCTACAGTACACTCTTGAAGGGATAGTTAAACTCCCAGCAGCCAGCCACACTAATCACAGCTTTCAAACCTGAAAAGCACCCCTGGTCATTATATTATTGAAGGCCACTCACTGGTTTCACCATCTTTTTTACCACATTGAATACTCGGCCTTTTTTCCGGTCCAGAGCCTCCGAGCTCTCAGAATGGAAATCCCAGCTGGAGACCTTGAGCTCAGCAGCACCTAGTGAAGATGTCAGAGAATCAGACTGACAGATCTCATCATTTGATTGCTCATCTAATGGAACCAAATGTGCTCTGTTAGAGGATGAAACTCATACTTGTCTTAAAAGCTAGAGCTGTTACTTTCCAAGGCTCTATCTACATTCAGGAAATTTACCTTTGCTCTTACTCTAGTGCAAATATGTTGCACTGATGTAATGCAGGGCTTACACAAGTGTGACTTAACCCAATAAAGAAATTGCCCCTGGTGTAACTACATCAAGATAATTACACTTGCACAAATTCCCAATGTAGACACACCACACTGCTGTAAAATGGGGCTTAGCAGTATAAACTGTGGCATTGTAAGTCACACTACACTGATGTACATTTCTTTAGTGTACAGACTCTCCCCCAGGTTACGCAAACCCGACTTACAGAAATCCGCACTTAAGGAAAAAGTTCCGTAAGTTCCGTAAGCTTTTTTTCTTTTTCTTTTTTGATGCGCGTAAATGTTGGCTATACGTTCCCGATTTACGCAAAATTCGACTTACGCAAGGCGTTCCGGAATGGAACTCTTGCGTAAGTTGGGGAGTGTCTGTAGATAAGGCCCTAAGAAAGGAAGGAGAATACATCCATTTGGGCTTCAGAAAGCAATGAGAAAAAGAACTGATGTACATCAAGATACAAAAGCAGAAACACTAATAAATTCATTCCTTGCCCAGTGGTACATGCTACAAAACTCATGGATAAAAACTTCCCTGCTCAACCCACAACAAAAAGGTTTCAAAAATATCTGCATTAAAGTATAATCTGCAAGATACCAACAAAGCAAGCTTCCCTCCTCAGAGAAGGGAAGGAGAAGCAGATAATTTGCCTTCACAATTCAAATGGACAGCACTTTTACCACACACTTTCCACTGCTGTGATACTGGTCACAGATTCCAATGCTTGCAGCAGAATCTAATCTTTCATTAAAAAAAAAAAAAAAAAAAAAAAGGAGCTAGCCTTTATTCTGAAAATACTCTTTGGCAATGAATCTAAGGTATTCTGTCTTCTTGACAGCCTCAGACAGTAATTCTAAGACAGATGTGAAGTTCCCCCATTCATCTCAACAGGTTTTTAACTTTGAATATAAATGTCAAATCTAAGAGTTTCACTCAGGCTTGACAAATCCACTCACCAGTGGTAAGAAATGAGCAAAGCTCCTAGCGTGTAATGCTGCATCGTGCTCTGAACGCTACTCTGTTTAGAACAAGGTGATGAATTGCATGATGAGACTTGTAGACTCTGCTTCTCTTTTACAGATCCCAGTTTTAAGGGACCCTGCTGTAGGTCTTCGTGGGTAACATCTGTCCCAGCAGCAGTATTTTGGTGACTCCTGCCCTACAGTGAAACAAGGACATACAAACCTCACTTACCATCTGCTAAGCACTTGGATTCAAGATCAAAGACCAGCCAGTCTTGTTCGCCTTCCTTGCGCTCAACATGGAGAATATCATTAAGGGCCCCAACAAACTCCATCACATTTAAGAACCCCAGCTCCTTCACGCATAGCTTCTCTTTAAAATGTGCCTGTTACCAGAAAAGGAGAGTTTTACAAGGCATATTCAACTGCCTTTTTGTTTAAAAAACAAAAACAAAAAAAAACTGCGACCACACCATTCTAAAGGGAGTTAAAAGCATGGGGAGGAAAAAAATTCCAAAGCTATAAAAACAGTTCAATGGTATCTTTTAAACAAAACTGTTTCACAGTCGGGACTATAAGCTGGTACAAATCATATCTAGATGACTTGCAACCTTCTCATTCTTGGTGCTGGACATGTAATTGATGCACTGTGGAGTGCTGCATTCCAAGGTTCATCGCTGTGTAACAGACACATACCTGATCCCTAAAGCCGGACATAGGATGTAGATTTACATTTTGCACATCTAATAATTTTGTTAAATGACCAAAACATGTGTTTAGCTGGAACACATGACTATAGATAGAAGCCTGCACCCAGACAGAACTAGCTTGAACACTAGTTCCCTAATATTAGTGGAGCTGCTCCTCAACAGCAAAGAAAATTAGACTTTGTACAAAATACATTTATTCAGTTCTCTTAAGCTTCTTAAGAAGGGTATTTCATTTACTTATAGGATTCCACAAGGATTCGAAAAATCAATATTTCAGCCCCTCTGGCCTGCCTCAAGATTAGTTAAATAAAATACCCTTTTAAAACTGTTTAAAAGAATTATTGGAGTAATTAAGTTTTGGGGGAATATTCCTATTTCCTCATTGTCAGCATGTGAATGGACATGAGTTAGGCGACATCATCTTAGCTCCTACTGGGTATTTATCTTCACCATAAAGCCAACACAGAGTTGGCAGCCTCTTCTGGAGGACACCTGCACTGAAAAGAGAAAACTGCTCTACCAGAGCTGAAAGAGAAGCTTACAGAGATCTACATGTAGCATGCCCAGCTTTAACCAAACTGAATAAAGAGTCCCTATCTGCTAGAGGCAAAACTTACCTCAAACTCACCAGGTAGCTTAGAAGCAAGCAAACCCTCAGGATACTGGGCTGCAACCTACACGATAGGAAAAGACACATCATAACCAGACAGTTGTGTACCCGGACCTTAGGTGAAAGAGGGAGTAAGAATAGGCTTCATATTGCAACACAGACAACTAAACAGCATGTTATGCGTGCAAAACAAATACTTATAGAAAGTTAGGGGCCCTAGCTTTTTAATGACATGCACTTTATTACTAGCCCCTGTAGCTAGACATGTTGGACCTTCTATCTGTCGCTGCCCCCAATTAGCAGCGCTTTGCCACTCATCCAGAACCTCAGACTTGCATAACTTAATTTCTGAGGGTACATATAAACTGGAAAAGGAGGAAAGGACTACAGATAGCATGTGCGTGTTTGGAATTCATGGCCCCACACAGTGAAACAAGCAGGAGGAGCAAATGGAAGAGCCCTTTAAATGATCTGCATTTTGCATTTGACCCATTGGCCTCAGCTGTGGCCAAAGGCCCTGCTAGAAGATACAGAAAGTGCACCCAGAGCCTGGCTCAGTAACAAGAGAGAATTTCAATGGAAAGTATCTATCCAGAAGAGTAATTTACTTGGCATGGGTTCATCTGTCCCAATCAGCACATCCACACATCTCTGAACTAGGGTGACCAGACGTCCCGATTTTATCGGGACTGTCCCGATATTTCCTTGTTTGTCCCGCATCCCGACCAACGTTAGGTCGGGACACTGGACAAACAAGCAAATACTCCAGAGCCCGGAAGTGCTCGCGCCCCCCCGCACCGCCCCGACTCCGCCCACTCATTCCCCCATTGGCTCCCTCCCCGAATCCCCGCCTCTTCCCCAGGCTCGCCATTCCTCCTCCCTCCGGTGCTTGTAGAGGGAGGCCCGGGAGTCGCAGGGGAAGCGCGGGGCCGGGGTGAGTGAGAGTCCGGCCTGGCCCCAGTGCAGGCAGGACTCAGTCGGGCGGTAGGGAGAGTAGGGGGGCGGCCCGCGGGGCCAGGCGGCGGCTGTTCTTCCCCCCGGGCAGCGGGACTCGGGAGCAGCCGCTGCTGCAGCTCCCACTGCTGCGGGGGGAGGAAGCTGCCGATGGCCAAGCTCGGCGGCTGCGGCTCTGGCGCCCGGGCTCGAACCCCCCGAGCCCGGGCCTGTTGCGGGGACCCAGCAGCGCACACGCTGCCCCCAGCCCCGGGCCATCGGCAGCCCAGCCCCGTTCATTCCCCTGCAGGACCCGAGCGGGACGGGGGGGCTGGGGCCTGCTGCCCCCAATCCGGGGCCGCTGCGGGATTGCACCAGCTGAGCAGCCAGCCCAGACGCGACTGGCCAGGGGCTGGGCGCAGCGTGCGCGCTGCTGGGTCCCTGCAACAGGCCCAGGCTCGGGGGTTTCGGGCCCGGGCGCCAGAGCCGCAGCCGCCGAGCTTGGCCATCGGCCGCTTCCTCCCCCCGCAGCAGTGGGAGCTGCAGCAGCGGCTGCTCCCAAATCCCACTGCCCAGGGGGGGGAGAACAGCCGCCGCCTGGCCCCGCAGGCCGCCCCCCTACTCTCCCTACCGCCCGACTGAGTCCTGCCTGCACTCGAGGCCAGGCCGGACTCTCACTCACCCCGGCCCCGCGCTTCCCCTGCGACTCCAGGGTCTCCCTCCAGCGCTTGTGGAGGAATGGGGGGGGGGTGGTTTTTTTTGCCCTGCCCCCTCCCGCCACGCCCCCCTCTCCCTCCGCCCCGCATCCCAATATTCGACTTGGGTGATCTGGTCACCCTACTCTGAACTCAGTGCAGAGAGAATCTTTATTGTATACAAGGATTATGAAAATTCCACATTGTCGAATAGCTGCAAGGACCAAAAGTCTAATTTCCCAGCTAAATAATCTAGGCCAGTGGTTTTGAAGACCTTTTCCTAACCTTTACCTTCTTTTCCAAAAAGGCACCATCCTAACACCCCTAGCCAAATCTAGCCAAAACCCCCTCTCCCACTTATCAATATGGGAAGGACAAAGTAGTCATGCCTCCTACATCTACCTGCTCACGACCTCCAGGTTCAGAACCCCTGACCCAGACAGCTATGCTGAGAAGCCCCAATTAGCAGTCCACCATTGTATTTCAGTATGGTTGCTTAAGTGCACCCATAACATGCAAGGTACTGTCCAAACTTATAGGAAGATGGTGAGCTCTTTAGCGCATGAACTATCTGTAAAATTTCAGTTGCTGTGAAGGGGAACAGTTCAAGACACAAGCAGTAAAAGAGATGATAGATTATTGTCCAGTGTGATCTCACTCCCCCTAAATACACACATTTAAATAATCTATAGGGTGTTACCACCTTTCATAGGTTCTGGTTCTGCACAAGCATCAGGATTCATAGATAGCCTGGAAAAACCCAGCAGAGAATACAGATTATCTGATGCCAAAGACAGAGGAAACAACATATTTCGATCTTGCGGGAAGAGAGGCAGACCACAGGCAAGCTGACCCCACACCATCTTCCCTAATTTACCTGTAACCACCAAGTCTACTGAGAAGCAATGGTGGTGTTCCTTGATCATCAGGCTTTAGACATGCTAATGTCTAAATGCTTATTCCTGTCCAAAGCTTAGAGACATTTCCAGATATGAACAACACTTACAACTCGGATCTTTTCTTTGAGTTCTGAGCTGACGGTCCCTCCGGCTCCCTTCTGTGCAAGCATCATCTTAATATCCTTCTCCAACTTCAAGGAAAAAGCCAAAAATTATACCAAGAACAAAAAGGTGAATTCCAAGGCTCAAGAAAACTCATATCAATTGTGCAATCAAGGGGGCAAATAATTCCAGTAAAAGATTTGTTTATTAGTGGAAATTACATAAAGATTAGGATTGCAGTGAAACTGGGTTGAATGTCAGCATCTAGCAAAGGATTTTTAAAACACACTGCATGCAAAAGATGCACAACCATTAACTCTAAAACTGCTCAGATACAGGCACTTGGAATGTCTAGTATAGTGGTCCCCAATCTTTTCAGTGTGGCGAGCACCTGACTACTAGCCACCAAAGAGCGTGGCTGCCGGACAAGCAGTTGCCGAGAAGCGGCAACGCGAAGAAGCGTCACCGCCGAAATGCCTCCAAGAAGCAGCGTCATCAAGAGGCGTCGCCGCTGAAATGCCACCGAAAAGCAGCGGCATTTCGGCGGTGACGCTTCTTCACGTTGCCGCTTCTCGGCGGCATTTTGGTGGCTGCTTGTTCGGCGGCCACACTGCTCGGTGGCGGGGCACTCCCTTATCAGTAGGCAGGCGCACATAGATGCCCCGGAGGGCACCATGGCACCCACGGGCACCGCGTTGGGGACCACTGGTCTAGTAGTTCTTGCCCTCCATAATCTCTGGTGACTATTCTGTAGATCACCAATACTGATGATGGGTCTTGCTGTGATGCAGGGGTCTCCAATTAATTATTGCTTACATTTGCCATTATACCACTGGTGTTGCACCACCTCATCATAAAGCAGACTTTGTGCTAGCCATAAGCAGGGCCGTCCTAGCCATTTTGGTGCCCTACGCAGCGCCCCCCCCCCTGTGGTGGTGGGGGGCTGGCCCCAGGCCTCCGAGGGCACGGGGGTGACGGTTTGGGAGGCAGGGGGGAACCGCCCCCCAGCACGAGCCAGCAGAGTGGAGCGGGTCGGGCCCAGGTCATGCCACTTCCTGCCGCCCAGTGAGTGCAGGGCAAGCCCAACCCCCCACTCATGGGGCAGTGGGAAGTGGAGTGACCCAGACACAGCCTGCTCCGCTCTGCTCCCCTGGCTCCCAGCCTTGGGGCTTAGGGGGCAGGGAAGAACCGCCCCCCAGCACTCACCAGCAGGACAGCTGGGGGCCAGGTCACTCCACTTACCGCCACCGGTGAGTGCAGACCCGACCCCTGCTGCAGTCCTCAGGGGAGTGGGGGCGGGACTGGGGCAGAGCAGGGGCAGGAAGAGGTGGGGCAGGGGAGGAACAGGGGTAGGGGCTTTGGGGAAGGGGTGGAGTGGGGGCAGGGCTTCGGCAGAGCAGGGGCAGGGCAGGGGCCATGGGGAAGAGGCAGAGCAGGGGCTGGAGCAGCATGCAGCTGCGTAGGGCACCAGGAAATTTGGTGCCGCAAATTTCCTGGTGCCCTACACAGCTGTGTACTTTGCATATGGGTAGGTACGACCCTGACCATAAGCAAGCTTTCTGGAGCTCTCAGAACACCTCACACACTTTCTTTCATTCTTCCTTTGTCCCTAAGGCTCTTGCCATGGCATTCTCCCACCTACCATCCCATGGCATATGGGCCTTTTAGCAGGAACTAACTATACTGCAGCTTATTACAATTCTGGATCAGTTCCCTCCCACAGCCTACACTTCATCCAAACCTCCCTGATAAACCTATCCTTTGTATTTTTTCCCCCACTCATGTCTATGCACCTACCCTCATGCTGTCCCCTACACACAGAACTCACTCTCTCTCTCATTTGCTAAATGACCCTCTTAGGTGTGAAGTATTATTCATTTCAAATCCCTCCTTAACACATGCTGCTCCATTAGTACTTCAACCATGATCTAAAATAATCCACACCACCTCCCATTTGTACCATTAATCATTGTATTCATCGTGGGTCAGTATTGGATTGTCTGTGCCTGATCACCTAGGTAAGCGCACTGGGGTGAGGAGAGTGAGTGTCTTCCTTTGTCTGAATATTGCCTAGCACACAGACCTCAATAACAATGGTTGGCCTTTGGACCAAGCTCTTCCCTGGTGCTAATAAACTGTTCAGTTATATTCTACCTCAGCATAGGGCCCATCAGGACCAGAAAAGACAAAGGAAATAGTGTTTTTCAGTTATGGCATTACCTGGAAAAGCCTCCGTTCTTTTTTGTCCTTGGGAGGAAGTATATCTAGTAGTCTGAGCAAAGTACAGGGACTCAAGGCTCCTGGTTTCTATTCCTTTCTCTATGAGATTCTGTGTGACCTAGGACAAGTGACTTAACCACAGTATACCTCAGTTTCCATATGTGTAAAGTGAGAATAGTTACCATGGCTTATCTACCTTCACAGGAGGGTTATGAGGCTTAATGTTAAGTGCTCTGAGATCTTTGAGTGGAAGGCACTATCATTAGGTAACAAGTTGATGGTCATTACAGGAATTGGCCAATGGGTGATCTGTAACATGAGTACAGAGATTTTGCCACCAGAAATAGGATTTTGATAGCCCACTGGACTCCCATGCCAATATCAATTTGTTTCTTGTTGAACTAATCTGAAAACAATTTAGAAAACCTTGTTTTGCCTTGTACTGATGATACACTATAGCCCAGAGACAATTACATTATTAAATGACTCTGCTTAACGATAAGAGACCCCACAGCTCACTTCTTCAGTTACTCACTTGTTTCAGTCTCTCACCACAGTTCCCTACTTCTGCTTCTACTGGCTCTGATCCCCGTTTTGGTGTTTCGAGGCTCTCTGTACAGAAGACAGATCCTGGAGGGGGTGTCCTAACTGCAGGTGGTGGCAGAGAATCAGACTTGGCCTGCTCTGCTTTCTTTGGCTGAATCACCATCTCACCTTAAGCAGAGAAGAGATTTATACATGGCATTAATCAAACTATGTGAACATGCAGATCACAGTTTTCCATTTCCCTGGCAGGCAGGCAATGTTGGGCTCACACCAATGTTTATCCAGCTCCACAACAAAGAGGCAACCTTTGTCATAGTAATAAAAGCTATCTATAGAGTATACACTTCAGATTAGCTAAACTCGCCCCTCTCCATCCACCTACCCCGGAGAACACAGAGGAGGAATCATGTAATAAAGCCCCAAGTCATACAGAGCCAGAACCCTTTGGCACTGGGCTGTGCACACAGCTGTGGCAGCAGCACGACTACAGCCCTCCTGTGCTGAATCCTAAAGGATGGGTGCTATTGCAGCCAGTGGAGACCTAGCCCCTTTCACCTGAAACACGGTCTGCTTGAAGAAAAAGTGACAATATGTGCTAATCAGAACTACCTGCCCCAAGTTAAATACATATACAGACTCACCCTGTGACAGCTTTTCCTGCTGTTGCTTAACTGAGGGGCTTTCCTTCAGGGTCAGCAGAGAGCCCGCCCTGGTCTGCTCAATGGCAATGATATCAGAGGCTGCGTTCAGCACTTCAATCATGGAGAAGAATCCATAGCGCATATACTGGAATGTCCGTCCAAAACGCCTGGCAAAGGCCTTATCAAAATCTGAGAGCAAGACTGGGGACAGACTCAGCAGGTCCTTCAGCTCACTCTTCACCATAGCTGGCAGGATAGGAGGGGTCCGGCCCCGCCGGGGCAGGCTGGGGCGAGAGAAGGCATTTGTTCTTCGCATGACATTTCGCACCTTAGAACTGGTCCTCTGTTTGGCAACCAAACTTGCCATTCCCCTGGTGGTCTCATCTGCAATGACTAAAGCAGCAGAAATAAATAGTTAAAGCTGTGTTGGGTAATGCTCTTCCTCTCTCCCCCTTCCCTTTTACTAGCCCCTTTCTGAGGAAACAGTCCTCTTCAAAGAGCAAATTGCACTAATCAGTCATTGCTGAACTCTACCATTAATGATGGAAAGCACAGTAACTTATAGCTTTTATCCTCCCCCGAAAGTCGGTCTGGAACAGCTTTAACATCCCATAGAGGGCAATGTGTCAGCACCATGAGCTCAGCAGATCATGATCCAAGCAGAGAGAGCTGCTGAGCCTACTAAGTGCTTGAACAGGAGATCACATGAGAAAACCCAGATATTGTAGAAGGCTGTGTTGGCCACTCAATAGATGGCATCCTTCCCTGTGAGCCAGTATTGCAACAAAACCCTACTGGACCTTTTGATAGTGCTACAGCACAATATGCTTTGCTGGAGCTACAGCCTTTTGAACAAGATGTAAAACCAAGGCCCTAACCACCTGCCATCATGGCATTTTTCACAATGTTAGAAGTGTTAGCAACAGTGTCTTGGACCAATTCCAATTTGTGCAGTTACATTCTACCTAAATTCACCATGCAATTTCAATCAGATACAGCATTCTTTTTTCACTGCCCTACACTGATGTGCAGTTTAAATTAAATTAATGGAGATATCCCATCTCCTAGAACTGGAAGGGACCTTGAAAGGTCATCGAGTCCAGCCCCCTGCCTTCACTAGCAGGACCAAGTACTGATTTTGCCCCAGATCCCTAAGTGGCCCCCTCAAGGATTGAACTCACAACCCTGGGTTTAGCAGGCCAATGCTCAAACCACTGAGCTATCCCTCCCCCAGTATCTACAACTATTTGATAAAGTGATCCCTGTATATACATAGCTGGTGTCAGTTCATGACAACTGCATGTGTATTTCTCCCTTGTGCTGCAGCAAGGGCACCCACTCTAGACTCCCAGCTCCTCACCTCTCTTGGGCAGAGACCCATATCTCTTTCCCTCCTGACAGGGGTTTTTCCAGGCTGCAGTTCCCTAGTAAGTCAGAATGCCTAAGCAGGTCTCCATCTGTGCTTTGCCTTCTCATCAGCGGCTATAAACAGTGTAATTGCCCACAGTTATAAGTTACCACACAGCCCTTTCTAAGCAAGTATATTCATTCTTAAGGTGAAAAACTTAAAAACAATAAAAGAACCTACCCACCATGCTAATAAGCTCATTAGAGATCAACTTGAGCAAGAGTTCTAGTAGGTGATCGCTCCTTCGAACCCCACTATGGGGCTTTTCCGTGGTTACAACAGCTGTTTGCTCAAAACACACATATTCATAGATTAGCCTTTCCTTTATACAGCTTGTGTCTTTGTGTTTGAGAGGCCATGCATACGTCATCAGTCTGACAATGGCACTCTCCTCTGGGCATAGCATCGAAAGGTTGGGTCAGGTATTTTCTAGAAAACCCACTTAACTTTGTCCCAAAATTTCCTTCTTGTCTGGCCCATTGCTTAAGAGTCCTTTGAAACTCAACACTTCTCAGGGTATACATTGGCCAAGTCTTTCCTTCCTAGAGAAGTTGCATACAATCCTATAATAATACAATACAATAATACAAACTTTGCATTTATAATACAGTGGACTCCAAAGCTATTTAACCTTAATTCAATATCATCTCCAAAGGACATTGCAGGAAATTGTCATATCTGTCACAGCTTGCACGGTGCTTTGGGAGGCCTCAAATTAAAAAGCACTATCTACATGCCTTTAAAACAAGCCAGCACCACCAGTGAGAGAGGATGTTATTGATACCAAACCCTGAATACCTTCAGTTATAGGGGGCACATAGCTAGCTTTGCAAGATCTCTCTGGACTGATGGAGTGGTATTATGGAGCTTACCAAAGAATGCTATGAACATTTTTGGAGACTGAGCTATGCTCTCCCAGCATTTCCACATCACCCCTCTTATTTCTTAAAAAAAAAGATTTTAAAATGTCAATTCATCCTCCCCCTGGAGCTGCTTGCCTCTTCAATTTTGCAAAACTCACTCCTCCCAAAACAGTGCTGCTGCTGCTGATCATTCCAAAGACTCTGCTCCCAAAGGTGAGGAAACAAGAAAGAAGTAGGATCTGGGTACCTTCCCCCACGTCCAAATGCTCCACGTCCAGGGTCCACACGCTACACCAGCCTTGTATCATGCACATACAGACTACAAGTACAGCATGAGACTGTTCTACTGAACCCTTTCCATGCTTGGGTGAGGGTTCCCAAGTCATTTGCTCCTCTTGCCAGGGGAGTCGTGCACCCACCTTTCAGTACAACATAGCCATCTCTACAGGAGATGCTGACGACATCGGGCATGTCCTTCACCAGCTCCAGGGTGGATCGGTAGCCCAGGGCGTGCAACGGGAGAGGTTTGCCGATCATAGTCCGGTACTCCACCTCCAGCTGCATTGGGGTCAGGCCCTCTTTGACAGCCATCAGCAGTGACCTCACCTCTTTCCTCAGCGAGTCCATGAGGCGCTCTTGGTCCGACATGTTTGCGCTAGGGGAGAGACAGAGTGAGCAGAGAGCGCAGCTTCCAGCAGGGAGGAGAGGCACTGGAACCACGTCCGGACGGACTTTTACAGCAAGCCCTAGAGACAGGCAAGCAAGGGCACCGGGGAGGGGGCGGGGGGACTCTGAGCCAGCACCAAGAGTGCAACACAACAGCCCTTGCCCCACAGTTACTGCCCCTGCATCAGCCTGTCCCCTTCTCCCCAGAATCACTGCCCCCTCTGCAGTTATTGCCCCCTCACAATCACTGCTCCTCCCCCCACGAAGTTACTGTCCCTCATGCAGTTGATGCCCCTCCCTCACCCCCGGGGTTATTGCCACTGCGTCTCCCTGTCCCTTCCCCCCACAACCAGCGCCCCCTCTGCTGTCACCGCCCCTCCCCCATGGCGATTCCTGCCCCAAGCCCTCCTCCCTCCACCCCGCCCCCACCTTCCCGCGGGCTCGGGCTGTGCCCTCGCGTCGCGTCCCCTCGACGGGTCGCTCCCTCACGTGGTGCCCACGCTGTGCGCCTGCGCACAAACACCCCGCCCCTGTGTCCACCCTCCCCACCAGACCATACAGCGGCGCCTGAGGAGGGACGTTCTACCAGCGAGACCATAGAGAGCCGCGGAGGGGCGCTAGAGCCTCACCAGCGGCACATAGCGCCACCCAGTGGTGCGAGCGAGGTACTGCGCTCAGGCAGCCCGCCCCCTGCTGGGGCTGATGCTGGGCCAGCCTTCCATAGGTCGGGAGCTGCCCCCACCAAAACAGTGAGGTGCCTGTGGGGGAGCAGCCAGCAGGGCCGGCTCTAGGCACCAGCAAAACAAGCTGGTGCTTGGGGCGGCACATTTTTAGGGGCGGCATGGCCGGCGCCAGAATGCCGCCCCTAAAAATGTGCCCCGGCCGCCCTAGCTCACCTCCGCTGCTGCTGCCGCTCGCGCGCCGCTACTCGCCCTCCCTCCCAGGCTTGAGAGCCTGGGAGGGAGGGGGAGCAGCGGCGCCCGCGCCGCGGCCACTCGGAGTCTCCCCCTCCCTCCCAGGCTCTCAAACCTGGGAGGGAGGGGGAGACTCTGAGTGGCCGCGGCGCGGGCGCCGCTTCTCCCCCTCCCTCCTAGGCTTGAGAGCCTGGGGGGAGGAGGCAGGGAAGGGGCGGAGTTGAGGCGGGGCTGGGGGTGGGGTAATTAAAAAACGAGGGGGGACGGCCAACATTGTTTTCGCTTTGGGCAGCAAAAATCCTAGAGCCGGCCCTGGCAGCCAGGGCTGAGTTCCATCCCAGGTGACAGTACAGATGCACCCCCAAAGTTGTACTAAGTGGCCCCTTTGCTGAGCTCCCGCCTGACACTTCGGGCCACCCCATGCCTGTCCCACGGAGCCATGTCCTACTGCGCCATGCTAGCGATGCCCATCCTGGTAACCCATAACCATGTGAGGCACAAAGCAAAACATGAGATCTCTACATGGGCTTCAGACAGACCTGACAGCATGGCTAGCTAGATCCATTCAGGGTTTGGTACAATGAGAGCAATGGGGCCTTGAAAGCAGGCCTAGGACCTTGCCACAGAATCATGATTGAGCCCTGCCCCTTCAGGCTCAAAGAAAGCAAAGGGATGGGGGGGAAGAATAGAAAAAAAAAAGTCAACCACACCCCAACATAAACCTCCAGCCCAGCTCCACATCATGATCACACAATTTCCAATTAGCATCAACCTTAAGCCCTTACACCAGGGGTGGTCAAACTTTTTGGCCCGAGGGCCACATCGGGGTTGCAAAACTATATGGAGGGCCGGGTAAGGAAGGCTGTGCCTCCCCAAACAGCCAGGCCCCTGCCCCCTATTCGCCCCCTCCCACTTCCTGCCCCCTGACTGCCCCCCTCAAAATCCCCAACCCATCCAACCTCCCCTGCTCCTTGTCCCCTGACCGCCCGCTCCCAGGATCCCCTGCCCTTAACCGCCCCCCCCGGGACCCCACCCCTTATCCAAACCCACCTTCTCCCTGTCCCCTGACTGCCCCGACCCCTATCCACACACCCGCCGCCTGACAGGTTCTCCGGGACTCCCACACCTATCCAACCCCCCGTTCCCCATTCCCTGACCATTCCCCCAGAACCTCCACCCCATCCAACCGCCCCCTGTCCCCTGACTGCCCCCCGGTACTCCCCGCTCCCCACCCCCTTACCATGCCAGAGCCAGCCACACCGCTGCGCTGCCCTGCAGGAGCAGCGGCCCAGAGCACTGGCGGTGCAGCGAGCTGAGGCTGCAGGGGAGGGGGAACAGCAGAGGAGGGGCTGGGGGCTAGCCTCCCCGGCTGGGATCTCAGGGGCCGGGCAGGATGGTCCCGCGGGCCGTAGTTTGCCCACTTCTGCCTTATACATTCCACAGACCTACCTCATGGAAGGTTAGGAAAATTCCCAGAAAGGATCATTGCTCCACAACACTGATGTTTCAACACAACAGCACAATGTAATGGCACAGTGTGTATATTACGGCACCAAAAACTAGGCTTGTACAAAATGATGCAAGCATTGAAAAATGTCAGACAAATCATTAAGACTTGGGCAGGGACGTCCTTACCCATACGCAAAGTACGCAGCTGCTTAGGGCACCAGGAAATTTGGGGCACCAAATTGCCCCAAATTTCCTGGTGCCCTACACAGCTGCATACTGCTCCAGAGGCCAGCCTGATCCCCCGGCCGGCTGAGCCGCCCAGGAAAGCTGCCCCTGCTCCGCCTCTTCCGCATGAGCCCGTCTCTTCCCGCCCCAGATCTGCCCCAGCCCCGCCCCCACTCCACCCCTTCCCCAAAGCCCCCGCCCCTGCTCTGCACCCACCCCACCTTTTCCCACCCCTGCTCTGCCCCACCCCCACTCCACCCCTTCCCCTGAGCAACATCCCAGGGGTCTGCAGCAGGGGTCCGGCACGCCCTGCACTCACCCGGCGGCGGGAAGTGGAGTGACCCGGCCCCAGCCCTCTCTGCGCCGCCAGTGAGTGCTGGGGGGCGGTTCCCCCCTGCCCCCCAAGTCCCAAGGCTGGGAACCAGGGGAGCAGAGCGGAGTGGGCTGGGGCCGGGTCACTCCACTTCCCGCCACCCCGTGAGTGCGGGGTCGGGCCTGCCTTGCACTCACCGGGCGGCAGGAAGTGGAGCAACCCGGTCCCAACTTGCTCTGCTCCGCCAGCTCGTGCTGGGGGGTGGTTCCCCCCTGCCCCCAAGCCTGTTCCTGCCCTCCTGTGGAGGCCTGGGGCCACCCCCACCCCCCACCGGCCTGGGGCCACCCCCACCCCGCACAGGGGGGCTGCATAGGGCACCAAAATGTCTAGGGACGGCCCTGGACCTGGGAAGAAATGAAGAGGCACTAATCAATCCCAGTGGTGTTACAAGCCTTGTGGATGGGGGGAAGCAGTAAATGTGGTATATCTTGACTTTAGTAAGGCTTTTGATACTGTCTCACATGACCTTCCCATAAACAAACTAGGTAAATACAACCTAGATGGTGCTACTAAAAGGTGGGTGCATAACTGGTTCCCAGAGAGTAGTTATCAGTGGTTCAGAGTCATGCTGGAAGGGCATAACGAGTGGGGTCCCGCAGGGATCAGTTCTGGGTCCAGTTCTGTTTAATATCGTCATCAATGATTTAGATAGTGGCATAGAGAATACACTTATAAATTTTGCGGACAATACCAAGTTGGGAGGGGTTGCAAGTGCTTTGGAGGATAGGATTAAAATTCAAAATAATCTGGACAAACTGGAGAAATGGTCTGAAGTAAATAGGATGAAATTCAATAAGGACAAATGCAGAGTACTCCACTTAGGAAGGGACAATCAGTTGCACACATCAAAATGGGAAATGACTGCCTAGGAAGGAGTACTGCGGAAAGGGATCTGGGGGTCATAGTGGATCACAAGCTAAATATGAGTCAACAGTGTAACGCTGTTGCAAAAAAAGCAAACATAATTCTGGGATGTATTAGCAGGAGTATTGTAAGCAAGACATGAGAAGTAATTCTTCTGCTCTACTCCACACTGATTAGGCCTCAGTTGGAGTACTGCATCTAGTTCTGGGTGCCACATTTCAGGAAAGATGTGGAGAAATTGGAGAAAGTCCAGAGAAGAGCAACAAAAATGAATAAAGATCTTAGAAAACATGACCTATGAGGGAAGATTGAAAAAATTGGGTTTATTTAGTCTGGAGAAGAGATGACTGAAAGGCGACATAACCGTTTTCAAGTACATAAAAGGTTGTTACAAGGATGAGGGAGAAAAATTGTTCTTCTTAACCTCTGAGGATAGGACAAGAAGCAATGGGCTTAAATTGCAGCCAGGGCGGTTTAGGTTGGACATTAGGAAAAACTTCCTAACTGTCAGAGTGGTTAAGCACTGGAATAAATTGTCTAGGGAGGTGGTGGAATCTCCATCATTGGGGATTTTTAAGAGCAGGTTGGACAAACGCCTGTCAGGGATGGTCTAGACAATACTTAGTCCTGCCATGAGTGCAGGGGACTGGACTAGATGACCTCTCGAGATCCCTTCTAGTTCTATAATTCTATGATTTTTCTGGGTAGAAGAGTATTGATTTATGTCCTTGAGATCTCATGCAATCAAGCCAATTTTCTCCATCTCTTTATTAATCAGTCATCTTATAACAAAGTGACCCTGTCCTTTAGAGCCAACACAATAGAATAATAGTTGGCACTTTACCCCTTCAAAGCACTTAAATATTAATCAGCACCTCTGTGTGAAATAGGTATTATTCCCCTTTTACATACACACAAACTGAGAAAAGAAAGGGACCAATTTTAATTTATTGCAACAAAATTAAAATGGATACATTTTACATATTTTGATAGTTTTTGGAATATTTTTGCAGAACTCTGTTTATAATCCCTACTTTACAGAGGCGAAATCCAAGGGTAAAAGGGGAATCACTGTTAATCTGGATTAGAATTCCTAACTTCCAGTCCTGTGTTCAGGCCAATGTTCTATTTCTCTTCCTGAGTCCATCTGTGATGCC